TGAAGCGTTGAAAATGCTGCAAATCTTCCTTTCTCTGATTTGCTTTTTTCAGCAGTTCTGTAAAAGTTGAAGAAATAATTGGATTTCTGTTTTAAAGAAAAACTCAGATTACTGGGGGTTTGCTGAAGTATCTCAGCAAGCTCTAGATCCGGGCTTTGAATAGGCCCAAATGTTTCCATGCTCCTTCCCCATCAGCCGGTCCTGGGTGGATTCCTGGGTCTGCTTTTGGGTCTCGATCGTGCTACAGCTTTAGTTTTTATTCACTGCAGGTCAACAATACAACCAGCCTGCATCATCCAGCATTCACTGTCAATAATGCTGATGTAACTCCTCCTGCTCCTTGTTCTATCAATTTTGCTTTCTCCTGTCCGTCCTACATGGGAATCATATTCACATCCAACCGTCCTCTGGTGGTTTTAGAGAATCTTCACCCATAAATGCAAACAAAATGTCAGTAAAATTCATTTCTCCACTTATATTTGCTTTCCTGTCTGGATTCTTTGCACAAACCACAAACTAAGCCTTTCTAATCATCGGTTTTGTTTCGAACCGACGATTACTAGACAGTGAATGAATATAAAGTGATAACAATAAAGTTATCAAAATAATCTAAAGTGCGCGAGAAGAATTCTATTGGTTTTGAGTTTTAGGATGTAAATATGGAGCCGTGTTTTCCAAAACCTGCGAAAATCAGCTGTCAGTTTTTGGCTTGGGCTTTTGTGGGAGTTGCTGCTCCTCAGTTTGGGGGTTTTGGGGTGTTTTCTACCCTCGGGGAGGTGGACTAGTAGGTGGTACCACCGAGACCCGACTGCTGCTCATTACTGGGCTCCTTCTCGTTTTGCCTGCAGCGCTAGAGAGAGAGATGTTGCTCCTCTGCAGGAAGCAAGAGGAGGAGACACACGTCATGGAAACACACGCGTGTGTGTGTGCGGATCAACAGAAACACTCCCGTATGCAACCTGTGGGTTGGGTGTGTCTGTGCGTGTGTGTGTTGAGGATTGGTTTTTCTGTCTGCTTGATCAAAGCAGACATGGTGCAGAGCAGAGGTCTCTGAGGTGAAATTAAAGCCCTGCTTCTTCCATGGTGGTGGGAGGGTGAGTGTGGGTGAGGGGGGTGTGCACAGGGTGGTGGGGGGAGTGATTACCGTTAAATTAAAAGGTACGGCGATAAAAGCGAACCCCGGCGATTCATCAAAACGATCCCGCGGCACGTCTTTTGCTTATCAAATTGTCGAATATTGTCCGTGACACCGGCGTAGCAGGGGCGTAATTAATGCACTAAATCAATTCCAAATCGCTCGGCGCGGAGAGGCCCTGCTGGGACGCTGTCATTATTGCAAATTATGGTGGCAGATGCACAGGGGCCAGGAGGAACGGGTAGCGCTCTGGCTTCCTGTCCTTTGTTTGTTTCCCTCACCTGCTTCCCGTTAGCTACTGTTCTGCTAGCTTCTTCCTGAAATAAAGACCTGGATACGGTACAAAGCGTCTTAGCGCTACAGCAGAAGCTTCTATAGACTGACTTCCTGAACTACTTTCTCAGTTAAAAATTAGGTGGAGGCTGGAAGGTAAATGAACTTTTTAAGATTTCTAAATCTTATGTCTGTAAGTCGTGCCGGTTAATTGGAAATGTTCTGTGTTCATGGTGAAACTGAGAACTGGACGTGTTGATCGAGTCTGCATCGTCTTTTCAACAAACCGCTCCGGAAAGTTCCAGCTTCCAACCTTCCCTTGAACTGCTGCAGAAGAAACTTTTCTCTGGTTTTCTTGAGCCCCTGAAGACTAGCAGCTGCAGCACTCTTGACGCACAGACGAGGACGAGAACACGCAGCGAGATAATTGAACTCTTGGACGTGAAGCTACATTTCTCCAGTTCGTCGTAACATTTGAGAATATCAATTCAAAGTTGTTTGAATGAATCTTTCTAGATATGTTAAGAACGTGAAATCCTGAAATCTGCCTTGCCCGGAAGCTAAAACATGAAGTTTTCCACATGAAAAGCTGAGAAGGACAAACAATCCCGTATGTAATCTGCAGCTGCAGACGTCTGAAAGGAACAAGGCTTCGGCTCTGAACACAAATAAGTAATAGAGCGTCTCTCATCTCTCTTCCACGGACATTTTCAGACCTCCACATCTCACAGCTCATGAATACTTCCGTTATGAGAGTCGGGAATGTTCGGTTCCGCGTCTGGCTGCGTTCAGATTTTTTTGAAAGCAGCTCATCGTGGCTGCGGGATGTATGCATATTGCATCTTTATGACATCTCCAGAGAGTCTGGGACTCAGTGATTTATAAGACACAATCTGGATGTTTCCCAACGTTCACCTAGCAAGAGACGGACTTGTTCGGCACCGCTCCACTCATTGTTTAAGGGCTTTGTTTGCATATTAAGTCCCACGTTAAGACGATGCCAAAATATGACACATTTTTACTGATCTAAAGTCTTTTATCTTCCATATGGTAATGATCTAAGAAGAAATCTTCAGAGATGTAGACAGTAACTCCCTGACTCCTGTAATGAAGTTGCACCATATAAATGGTCAAATTAACATAGTTTATAACAATCTGTGATCCCGATTGAATAAATAAGCATTAAATTGTGCTTATTTGATCAAGTTATATTCATTTATTCGTCGAGCTCCGGGCGTTTGGCTGTTTCAGCATGTAGGTTTGTCCTTCATCGAATCCTTTCTCCATTTCAAACTCAATTGAATTCAGTGTGGAGGCAAATTCAGAGAACTGCAACGTGCACATGGAAATATGTATTTGAATATCTACAAGAAGGGAAAAATCTGTAATGACAAGATATTCAGCCAGAGCTTGAATATGTAATCTAGCTGATTAAAATAAGACACGACATGACATGGAAAAGTTGTTCTAAGATTATGAAACGCGTCTCGTTATGTCAGTACTTCTCCATTGACTTTAGTTAAGTTGATCTTTTTTAAGGTCACAATCTCTAAAAGCCTGCAACAGTTTGTTGAAATTGTTACACCAATTAATAGCACCAAATAATAACTCATGAGGGAAGTTTCAGAATATTTTTCTCTGCAGAAAACACTTTTTTTTCTCCTTTCTTCCAGTTGACCGCACATTTACATAGATTTATTTGTTGGAATATGTATTAAAATGTAGAAAACTCTCCTAATATGTTCTAATATCATTTTATTTCCTTTTTTTGTTGTTGTTTGTTTTGACAGACCAAAAAATGCTTTCAAAAATCCTTAAACGTCAAAATGAAGACAGTTAAATAATAACACGACGATGAGTCCGCTGCCCTCCGGTGGCCTCCTGTAGGAAGTGACAGCTGGAGGACTCGATCGTCTTCGTGACGTCCTGAAGGGAATGTGATCCTCCTCTTCATCGAGCAAAACCTGCTTTCTCCAGGAAAACGTGACTGATGTCGCTCCGGATCATGAAACGCAGCCCTTCTTGCCTTCCATGTACTTTTTTTTATTTAGCACTAAGACGTAAAGACGCTCACAGCTGAGTTGCATATCTCAAACGTCATAATCTGGAGCGTGACTAAGCCTGGAGAATCAGAGCTTACGCAAATTGTGGGTCATGAAAAGGTAAATGTGAGGAAAATATCCAAGGTAATAAAGTATGGAGATTTTGCCTTACGAATGATGCCAAAATCATTCGCCGGAAACAAAAAAAGATGACCAATGCCTTCCCTTTGCTTTATAAGCACTGGCTTTATAAAGAGACGAGCCTGATCAAATCTGACATGACTAATCAGTCACGCAGCTTTTGTGGTTACCTGCCACAAAGTGGAATTGCTGTTTGCAGATTCTACAGTTTGCTTTTCATTATGAGGGAGGAAAATAGTCGGTAATTGTTGCTGGACTTCTTGTCTGGCGCCGACGTTGCTGAACGTATTCACACATCGTCCTTTGGTCCGAGTTCAGATTTTAGCCGATTTTCCACTCTATGGACTTCAAATAGCATTCATTTATTCATGAACAACAGACCTTGGTGTTTGGGTGTTGCATTGTTAGCTGCATAGTGATTAGCATGTCCAGTGGTTTCCCGGTTGGAGCCAGAACGTTCTCCAATCGGAGGCGACTTCATCCGCAGCATTGAAAAAGCAATATTAACCTCATCTTAAAGCGACTTGGTGCGCTAACATGCATGTTCTCTTTTGTGTGAACGTGTTCAGTGTGTTGGAGGGCAAAGAGTGTTATTGTTTGGAATGAAGGTAACGTCTGTGTAATAGAATAGGAGAATTGTAAGGGTGCGCTGCCCCGCGTGAGGGGAAATGTGATTTATGTCCCCACTGGCCTCTTCTAACACAATCATTAACTGAAACGGCTATTTTGCTTCTATACATTCACATCCTCTCCTCGCTGGAAATTCATGCGTTTTCGTCTCTTTTGCCGTTGACATGAATTTATTATCCAAGCTAAGTCTCGCATTGTCTTCCTTTGGCTGCATCCAACCTCTGCAGAGGGCCCAATCATCAATCACTTGGAAGGGCCATTAAGCACCTTTTCTTCTCCTTGGTGGAGTGAGCTGACATTAGGCCTTACTGGCCCCTGTTTCTCCTCTACACCGACTCTTCGTATCCTTTCGCAGCGCTACACCTCAGAGATGTAGGGGACCGAAACCAGCACTACGTGACCTCGGCAGTGTCGGACATAACGTGGCCCTTGCCTTTTTTTTTTTTTTTTTTCTGTCGACAGTCACTGTCAAGCAAGCAGGAGCCAGCCTGTGGGTGATGTACACAAGCTTTGTCACATAACTGCATTATGTAGGGTCCCCAAAGGCAACAGCATAATGTGATACTCCACTCTGCTGTTGCCGGGTTCCTACAACAGCCTTGCCTCATGAGTTATGCATTAGTGTTTTTATTTTTGTTAGCTGCAGCTCCGAATTCAGACACCGTACGGCTTTGTTTCGGTTTTGTCTCCTAATGTCCTGCAAACCGTCCTCCTCCTCCGCCTGCCTCTCCTCCTCCCTTTGGAAGTTTTTAATTTCACAATCAGGCTCTCGACCATAAATGCGTCTTGACAACGCAGACGGCGATGGTGAAGCGGGCCTATATGAGATTGTCGGGCTGTCGGAGGCGATGAGCGTCAGCGGCGAAAGCCTATGGCAGAGCAGATGCTGGAGGCGCTCCCGTGGATATCGGCCCACATACACACTTCTACACGGCAGCGCTGTCAACCTAAAGTGATCGTCGACGCTAGCTGGGAGTGTTGAAACTAAATCGTGTCCATGTCTTGTATGAGAGGGATCCGGTGAGTTCAGCGGCACGTCGAGTGGCTGCAGTGTGAAACGAGAAGGTTTGAAACACTTCATTGGGCTCGCAAGTCAAAGCCTAACCCTAACCCTAACCCTGAGTTTACATTTTTTGAAATTGAGCAAATCTAAAATTGTGTACATTTTCACTCAAGCTTTTGTGTTTTTATGTGGATTTCAATCCATGGTTCTGTTGATGACCAGGCTTCAGCTGTTGGTCGGATCTCATGTGGCTGATGTTAGCATTAGCATCATGGTCTGACATGGGGCAAAGTTCATCACGGTCCAACTGATGCATTTGAATTATGCACCGTCGGCAGTTTAACAGGAGCTCAGTTGGCATGTGTTTACTTCTGTTCATTTTTATGGTTTCCTGATCTGAAAAACTTTTCGATTTATGAGTGAATAAAAGTAGCCTCCAAAGAAGAAAGTTGGCTGCCGTTAAAAGTTGCCGGTCCAGGATCTCAACCACCTGCAATGCGGCGGGAGTTTAAGCCACTCTGAACAGGAAAAGTCGCATGCAGGTTCACTTCCTCTCACATGTTTGATGTCGTTTTCATTTGAAGTCGGGGAAATCTCCTCCTTATCTCAAGCGCTTTTTTATTTATTTATTTATTTTTTTCTCTTTCTGCGCTTTGTTGATCTCGCACGAATACCTCGGAGCACAATCGGCACAACGTGGCGATCCTTCCTCACGTGAGCCTTTAAAAAAAAAAAAAGAATCTTTGCCGAGCTTCCGGCCGCGCCGACATTTCATCCGTCTGGATATTTATCCGTTTCAAAGTCAACACCTCTTTCTTCTCCTCCTGCTTCGTTTCTCTGGGCGTCTTCAGATCTTGGATGTAGAAACTTCACATGCTCTCTGCAGGCTGGGCCGCTGAACCAAAGACGGTGTGTGTGTGTGTGTGTGTGTGTGTGTGTGTGTGTGTGTGTGTGTGTGTGTGTGTGTGTGTGCGTGTGTGTGTGTTTTCTCACGGAGCTCACTGAACAGAATGTAAACATGTTCCTTCCCGCCCGCTGACTTTACTGCAGCGTGGAGTAGGAGCATGCCGAGGCTTACATGGACCACTGCTCTCTCTTTGACTCACCAGCAAAGGGCTCTATATGGAAATGAGCCATAATGGCCGTAATCTGAGCTCCATCTCTTATATTTTATGCAGCTGTCATCAAAATCATATTTTTTTTTTCTTCTTCTTCCCGTCATGGTGCCATTCCTCTGTCTCTCCGTCTTCTCCCCGTTCTTCCTGACATCCAGCTGACAGGAACAGGTGCCCTATTAAGTATGCTTTAATCTATATCTCCCCTGTGTTCCACCTTCTGTGCAAACTTCATCTCCAAACTTTAGAGGGTTTTTTGCTTTTGATCTCCGGGCGGCGTTGTCATTTCCTGGGTGCCGTTCTGACAAAAAGGTTTCGCGCGACACGGAGATCCAGGCGTTGGAAGAGGAGGAAAATAAAAGCGGATATAAAAAGCTAATATTTAATGCAGATTATAATACCATATGGCTTTAAAGCCGTCGTGGGATACGCAGGCGGGCTGCAGACTTTTAGCCGTCAGTCACAGTGCCTGCGTAAGGTGGATCTTGTAAAGGCAAAGAGAGCTGCTTGTGTTTGAAAGGATTTATCAAGAAGACAAGAAAGCATGTAGAGATGAAATAAAACCTTCCTCTTCGGATTGGTCTCAGCTCTAAAGCCGCGAACACGTTTCCGATTCCTTCAATCCGATCTTTAATATCAGCCAACTTCTCAATTATTAGACGCATGAGATAATAACTCAGCTCCGGTCATATCGTTTATTAAATATTAACTTTAAATAATTTTTGTGGTGCTTATTGCAGAGGAACCCAGACATCATCAGATTGTATTTTTTTGTTTTTTTTATGATCAAGACAAATATCTCATTATTTTCCCCTAACAAATCCGGGACTTCAGAGATCCAGCTGCTTCGACCCAAATCGGCTTAACCGGATCAAAACAAAACAGCCAAGAAGAAGAAATCTGGACACGTCTTGTTTCTTTTTAAGCATATAAATGATTAAGGACCCTCACTGTCATGAGCAAGCGGCGACACAGTGGGAAAAAAATCGAAGCAAACTCCACAGGTTGGCAAAAGCAGGTTGTGCATATTCGTGTCTAAAGTTTCCAGATCAGATATAGAAGAGGCTCTGAGTTGATTCTCGGAAAGACTCCTGGAGGAAAGTGTGTGCGTACCTATTAACTGTGTTTGGCGAGGTTTCCCCCGGGTAACTGCAAAGTAGGCTAAATGAGTAAATTACAATAGACGCACAGGCAATTAGACTGAAAACATCATACACTTTGTTAGATTTGTTAACATAAGTGCCTGGAAGTTATGTTTCAATTACAGCCGGAGGATGCCAAGCACTGGGGGGAGTCGCTTGATGCTTTACGGCTTCAATATTAAACCTGGTTTTATCAACAGCTGCTGAGTTATGGCACTGCTGACTGCAAAAGCAGAGAGAGCCAATCACAATGATCCGTTTTAGAGCATTAAACAGCTGTTGAATGGGAACATGCAGTTCCTCAAAGGGCGTCAACGAATGGCGGGGGGTGGATTTCTTTTCCCGTTTTCGACACACCCTCAGCTGTCCAACAGCTGAGAAAAATGTTTGTCAGCGCTTATTTGTAAACAATATCTTGTTTTCACTATTGTTTCTTGACCAGTGTTAGCATTAACACTTTGGCTCAAATTCTCCTAATCAATATTGACAATTCAAATATATCTGTCTTGTGATTGGATGGAGAGTTTCCTAACATATTTTACAATTTTAGTTTCAGATAATTATGTTGTGCACCTTGTTGGTGCAAATTAGCCCCGTCGCTCTCCTTGCTGGATCTATTGAGCTTTTCTCTTTTTTTTTTTCTTTTTTTTTTTTGTTCTTTTTGAGAGAGGACACACTTCCATCCGCATCTTGTTAAATTTGAGCGCCTGACCCGGCGGAGCCTCACGGCTCCTGCTCTTTTTGAGTTTTCGCCTCCGAGACGGAGCCGGGTCGGCGTGGCAGGAAGGGGAAACGCAGGTGCTGGTGTTCACCTCCCTCCCTCCGGACCTCTCCCTCCTCCTTGTCTCGCACAGGAATGCAGATAAATATTGATCAAGAAAGCTTTCAGGACAGAAAAAACAAAAAATACCGCAATTGAAGGAAATTAAATAGTGTCAAAGTGAAAAGAACGAGGAAAGGCAGGGTAATCCTTTCATTTAATTATATAAATTACAACAGAATATCCTTTCAAAATCTGTTTTTCTCCCTCCTCTCGCTTGCTGCACTCTTCCCTCGCCGCTTCTGCTGGAAAGGCTTTCCTGCGGTTGCTAAGAAACAGAGAAACGTTTTTTGGTTTTTTTTTGTTTGTTTGTGTATTTCTGTGTGTGTGTGTGTGTGTGTGTGTGTGTGGGGTGTTGGATTTTGGCCAGCGGGTCCCGGAGGCTGGAAGGGAGAAGGGGGCAACAGTGGAGGCACTGTGGCGTCTGCCAGCAGCCGAGTGCGGCGCCACAGCTGGGTCGAGTCATGACGCCGCACGCACCTGGGGGGGGCAGACGGGGGGGTCCGGTGGGGAGGGGGGGTCATGGTTCACCCGATGATCGCTAAGCTCGCCGGGACTCGGCAGTAAACATCGGGTCGCGGTCGGGTCGGAGTGATGAAACAGCAGGACTTTGGACCAATCGAGGCACTTCAAGACGATTCTCCAGAGGGAGCAATAAAGACCTTTTTCTGTGCACTTTGTGTTTAGCGGCTGAATCACAAGCTGGAATTAGTTTCAGTAAGTCCTGCAAACAAATGGAACTCGGGGAAACGTATGTGACGGAAGATGATTTTACCAAAGGGTTTATGACAGGCCCCACAATGGAAATCATTTTCCCAATAAGTATGCTAATCAAAGGTTCCTCTGAAATGGATTCTACTGCTCTTTTATTATGTCGCTCTTTCTCTTTCCCAATGATTGACACATTGTAATCTTGCTAATAAGCACCTCCGCTGAATGTTTCCTTCCTATTGTGTTTGTGTTTCAATAGGCCAACTTGGCAGGTGTGCACTGGTGTTTGCTTGGCACTCACCATGGAAGCTAATCTCAGCTACCTGCTATTATCCCAGAATACAAGGCTCCCCCACATGCTGTCAGTCTCCAATAATGTCCCCCAGGGGTCAGCAGCCAATCAAACCCCACATTACTCATTCACTCCTTCCCTCCCAACCAATCATCGACATCATTACTGGCCTGTCTCAGGTCATTAAGAGGAGTCTTGAGGACCTTTTTTTCCACTTCCTACCCTGTCATGGGATGTTTGAAATTCACCTAAAATAGGACTTGAATGGTCATTAAGGACTGACTTGACTTTATGTCCTCTGGAGAATGAATATATCCATCGGTTATTGCCAGACTGCGGAGACAAGAGCTGAAGAGGAGTTCCCCCCCCCCGACCACGGTTCCCTCCTCCAACTCATCTGGGTCTTAAGATATCTGTGACATTAAATCTTTCATGTGAGTTTAGGAGTTACCCCGAGGCCTCTTTCTAGAGACTCTTGTCAAACCTTCTCTCCAGGAAGGCATCCAAAAGGGATTTCTACCAGATACCCGAACTACGGAGGGGTCACAGCTTAAGGGGAGATTTCCAGAGGCAAGCTACCCCCACTAATTAATCTTGAGGGACTTTGAGTTGTTTCTAAACCAGGTGTGACATTTAATCTTTCGAGTGGGTCGCCGATTTCTCCCAAGGTCTCCTAACGCTGGATAATCTGAGGAGGCAAACAGAAAGGTGTCCTTACGAGTCCCCGAAACACTTCCACCGATTCCACTCCTTACTTTTCTCCCAGACGTGTCGAAGGCACAACAGCTGAAGCAGCTTGAACTGAGTTTATCCTCTCAGTAGCTCCGGTCCCTATAGGGCACATTGAAGGTATTCTTACCAGATGACTAAACAGCTTCTGACTTCACATCCAGCCGCTTCCAAAAACAAACGACAAAGGAGCTGACCTGCGTCGAGATACCTTGAAAGTAGAGTAAGCCTCGTTACGAGGGAGCTCATTTGAGATCTAACTATGCTTCTCTCTGTCATGCTATGAATGGAAATGAAGAAACGGCTGAGGAAACCGAGGTAAAAGGTGCTTCGTATTTAATTTTATTTTGCATTTATTCGCTGCGTTTATTTAGTGGTGACCCAAGGTTGAGTACTACCACTCTTCTTGAGAATTCAAATGAGGATATATATATATAAAATAAAAATAAAAACGAGCTCATTTTGCTCCCGCTCCTTCAGGTCGACTCTGCAGCTGAATTAATTTGCCTCATCAAGTCCAAAATCCAGAGATAATCAGCTTGATTTTTTATAGGGACTTCTGAGAAGGTCAGCTGCTACACGAAGAGGCAGACGGTCGAGGTCTTCTGATCTGTAAAGACCGATTGCTTCGACTTGAATCAAAGCCAAATCGTTTTCTCCTTTTTTTGTTTTTGTTCAGCGTGAACAAAATAAACGCCAAGTAAACCACGCGGAGTTTTAATTTGAAGTTTTTAGTAGTTGTCGGAGACTCCTTCACCTGTCCTCTCCTTTCCCGTGCAGTCCATACGAGAAGTGACGGGCTACGTGTTGGTGGCGCTGAACCAGTTCGAGTACCTGCCGCTGGAGAACCTGCGGATCATCCGGGGCACGAAGCTGTACGAGGGCCGCTACGCTCTGGCCATCTTCCTCAACTACAGGCGGGACGGCTTCTACGGCCTGAGGCAGCTGGGCCTGCGCAACCTGACGGGTAACTTCCTTCCTTCTTTCCTTCCTTCCTTCCTTCCTTGTAAAAAACTGTGCAGGAAATGAGTGTTTCAAATCCTCTCTGAGGTGAGAACTAAAGCAAAGGGGAACAAAAAGGAAACGTCTCCGAACAAATCAAACGGATTTGATCGTCTTTGCGATAAATCGGAGGCAGTAACTGTAATATTTAGCCGTTTAAACTCCCCCTCACAATGAATTATGGGCTCTTTTTTAATTTGTGCTTCCAACACATTTTCTTTTTTTTCTTTTTTTTTTTTGTTTTCCTCCCACACACATACACACACACATGCACACACACACACACACACCAGCAGATTTATTGCAGCTTTAAAAGCTGTAAGTCACAGAACTGGAACTTTGTAAATAAGCTGCTAAATTAGGAATGTCGGGCTCAATAATGAGAGATTTTCCCCTCAACTTGATTCTTTTCCCTGTCAGAAGAAAAAAGGCTTCGGAGGCACGTCGCGTCAATGTTTTACATAACAGCTGCTGTGTTGGGCTTTGTTTGGGCCATGCGGGAGCGCGACGCTAAACAGTAGCCATTTGTTAAAGGGACATTTAACGGCGGTTCCGTCTGAAACAGGGAGCCGCCTCACGGCGGGATAATTATCGTACTCGGCCGTCTTTTTGTCTTCACCTTGAACGTTTCCAAGAGTTGGACGGACTCCTGGGTTCGGCTCATTTTCTATGATTTACACTGTAAGAAGCGGCTGCAGAACCACACACAGATCAGCACTTAGAAACACTGTAAGATCAAATGATCTGATTTAATTAGTGTAACCACTTAATTGTCATGACAACACCAGTGTTTCCATGGACCCACTGAGTTACATGGAAGTGTTTTGAGGTGACAGTTGTCTGAAAATGAAATGATTAACTGAGGCATTGTATGTGTGTATTCACATTTCATTATAACATAATATCCATCATATATTTATTTATTCTGTGTTTATTAACTATATTTTTGTGTTTTTACTATTTTTTTATTTAGGTTATTTATAAAATTTCACTTATTTATGTATTTTAGCTATATATGTGTGTGTTATAATATTTATTTTTATTTTTATATGTATTCTTTTTCATTGAATTCTTATTTTTTATTTCTTATTACGTAAAAAAGCTGTAAATGTGGAACCAGATGACAAATGGAAACTTGTCCTACTGACTAAAGGAAATAGTTTGGGATCCAAGTCATCTGAACATCTGCTTCTATTTGCTTCATCCAAGTTCCCTCCGTATTGTAATCGAAGGAAACGGGACGCCGTTTATTTATGTATTCATTCGATGTTCCTGCTTGCTGACGATCCTTAGAGAAAAGGGGAAAATCCTTTCTGGTCTCTGAACAGCAGTTACTTTGTCTTTAATCTTGTCGGTTTTTGGAGGAAATGTGCTGGACGCCTTGATGGCTGGAAGAACCACATTCGCTGTCGCGCTTCCAGCACCAACTGAAACCGAAACGCTTTGGCGCGCGCTGCCGCGGCCAGGCGGCAAACATCCCGTCCAACACGCACGTCGCCCGAACCGCCGCCAAAGAACAAAGAGGAAGGCGTCGGAAACGGCCGCTTTCTGTCCGAGGTACTCCACTGTATTTGTCATGATTTGTCTTTTTTAAAAAACAGACGCATTGCTGCGTGTTTCTATTCAAAGCCAGCTGCCACATGGAAGAGAACAGCCATCGGTGCAGAAAAAGTTTCCCAGCAGGAATTTACTGCAGGCCCGTGTCGTATTGACTCTGCAGCGCCGCTTTGGAGATTGATGGTCGGGGAGCAAACAGTGATCCATATTAGGCCCCAGATTTATTGTGATAAGCAGCGTTTTATGGAGTCTGAATGCCGTGATAAGGCACTCCTGAGAGCTGTAAGGACGTGTCGACATCCAGCAGGGGATTTTAGGCGGGGCTGGGATGGGGGCGCCTGTTTGACAGCCCCAAAGAGGCAAGGAAAGCCTAAATGCACCTTCATCGCTGGATGACTCACCAGCTCTACTCCACAAAAGAAGCAGGAAAATGCTGCTTTTCTCAGCTAAATGAGAGATTTCCCTTATTTTTACCAACCTGGAGGACTCTCAAGGTAAAACCGGCAGGAGGCACGTTTTGCTCAGCAGCTCAGTGGATGTGTAAGTTTAGCATGAGCGCTGCGCCGCACAGCCACAAAGCCTCAGCAAGCATTCGTCTCTCGTCTCTAGTAGGAATGTCTCACTGCGGCTGAAATGGAGAGTAACTTTCCACCAGGAAACTGGAGCGAGTTTCAAGGCAACAATTTAGATTTGTTCAGCTTGAACTCTGGCGCGCACACTTTAGCGCGTCACCACGGAGCTAATTACCCCACGTTGAGCCGCAGCGGGTGCAACAACCATCTGATCTTAAAGGCCATCAGAACCGAGGAAGTGTTGTGTTTGAAACGCTCTGATCCTGCTCCTGACACTTTTTTGTGTTTAATCCTCCTTTTTTTTCCCCCTGTCCATATGGATGCAAACCAAATTGTTTGGCAGATATGCTCCCATATCCCCACGTCCAGCAGTCCTCCCTTGCCCTCTTTTATCATTCCTCTCTTCTTTCATGTAAATTGCTTCCACCCAGGCTCACCGGGGCTGCGGCTTCCTCCCCCGATTGGAAGCTAATCGTGTCGCACTAATTGCGGCATTCGTGTGGGCATTTTCGCAGGTATTTAGGCCAAATTACCAGCAGCAGTTGCCACTGAGATAAATTGATTAATAGACCTCGTTATAATTAACCCCGTGTGCATCTTCATTTGCGAGAGCATGACTATTGATTCCACGGGTCGCACGCGTCTGCCCAGTCAACAGAGAAACCTCAGAATGTCCCTCATTTTAAAAAGAACTAGAGCATCGATGAGGAAAACAAACTTCTTTTTTTTTTCTTTTATTATTGTGTTATAAAAGGATAAAATAAGACAAGAGCTGCAAATTTCAAAATAAACCAATGACACTTTTAATGCTAAGTAGACCATTTTAATGGACTTTTAATGCAACTTTGCATTAAAAGTGTCATTATTTACCGAATAACTCTTTATGACAGCAGTCAGAAACATTCATGAACACTCCACTGTCTTTAGGTCAGCTGCGATGTCATGTTGATGATGGCGTCGCCGCGTCAAAGTGTCGCCAAGTAATCAACGCGCCATCTGTCAAGCGTCCAGGCGGAGGCGTCATACTGCGGCACAAAGCAGCAGCACAAAGCAGTTCCACTTTTTTCAATGGAAAAAGTGGAACAAGATCTGAAATTCCTCAAAATGTCCGACGTCCGTCAGCTCCGAGAGTACAACGTGGGCACAACGCAGCATCTCAAGAGGGTCAATCAATCAGTCAGTCAGTTTTATTTGTGTAGCACGTTTCAGCAACAAGGGAGCTCAAAGTGCTGTACATTGTAAAAATATGAAAGTCAACAACTGAAACGATACGTTTTGTCAAATGCCGTCGTTCCACATCAGAATGTTGATCAATGCTTCACCGATTATGTTTCAAAAGAAGCTCTGAACAGGTGAATGTAAGCCTGGATTTATTTATTCATCGTTTCGGAAGTTGATTAGAAGCTGAATGCTGCTTTTCTATGTATCGTACAAAAAAAATACCTCAGTTAATGAAGCTATGTAATGTCTTGTAACAGGTAGAGTTTGAGGCATTTGATTTCTGAGCCACAAGGGTCCAAACAAGAAATAAAGGGGTGAATGATTGAGTGGAAGTCTAAATATGGAAGGCGTGCTCCTGTGGGAAAGACTGCGCTTTAAGTTAGAGCTATATGTTGGGGAACGTCAAATATGGCGGAGGAAGTCTAGAGGTTGTTTTCAAACATCAACAGCTGGCAGCTCATTTTTTCAGTTCAACAAATAATTCAAGCTATTGCATGAAGCCGAAACTGGTTTAGTGGTTGTGAAGGTTTCACACCATCCAAAACTTTTTATTTCCTCAGATTTTCTTCTCATCATCGTTCAGTCTTGGTGCATCGGCCGTTACGCGGAATAAGCGCGTTATGCAATGCCGGCGACCGAGTCTGAGGAACACGGCGGTGCTTGAGTTTTCACATCAAAGATGGGATCTGCTCTGTCATATTTTTTTTTCTTGAGTGAAGGTTTTTAGTCGAGCAACTTAGCAGCTTTGGCTAAACGCAAGTCGGATTTCAGCCAAGTGGTGCAGCCCGTCAAGTGAAAGTGCAGCTGTTGCACAGATTGCCAGTCAAGCGTCGGACCTTCCCTAATCACTTCTCGACGCGTTTCGCCAGCTGCTTTCAGAAATCACGCAGACTTTCCGGATGGAAGAACGTGGAGGAGCAAAAGGAGTCGCCGTAATTGCGTTTGGAGTTTGTTTAGGCAAAAAAATTCTCCCTCCATTGCCTCTTTACTTAACATAAAGCCCGTGGTGTGATCTCCAGAAAGTGGTGTAATTACAGGAAGATCAAATAGAGCAAAAGCGGCTAATGCTAATACGCACTCTCGATCTGCACCGTTAGAGGAAAGAGGGAGAGAGAAGAGAGTTGGGGCCCATTAATAATGAATCCAGTGTCATCATTAAGGCACCAGATGATTAAAACATATCTCCCAGCTTCAAACGCTGCTTTGCCATCCTAGGAAATGCTGCAGTTGTGAATCTGCAAAGCAAGAGAGCCCTTCAGTCTGCTTGTGAAATAAAGTTTTGCCCTCTTTTTTCTTCTTCTTCTTCTTTCATCTCTTCCAGCTCCTTTTTTTTGGAGGAGCGAAACACCAAAGCGCCAACGTTCCTTTCTGAAAACAAAAATACGGCTCCGGTTCAGCATCCCATAAATCTGCGCAGACGTCTGAATGATATGAACCGTTACACCCAGCTGCTGTAAATTGTCTTTGCCGCAGCTTCTTGAGGCGACTAGGTTATGTCATCTTGATGTAGATAGTTCCAATACAACACCTTTAAAGACTGATCACTACTCAGACTGAAGAGCAGACGTGCTAAATTATCTCTCGTTAATATTCATGCTCAGGACAATGCAAAGCT